ATGCCTAGTCTTCAACTGGTTCAGAATTCGGAGGGCAGATGGTCCCATTAATTGGCAATTTCAAACAACAACTGTCACCAAATTTGCTACTTCTGTGATGGAACCAAGGGAAGAGGGGAATGCTTTCACTTCACTGGCAGGAGTGTTTCACTGCTTCATTCTGTGGACAAAAGTTCAGATGGCTGACGCAGGGACAAATTGGCAGCAGCGGGTAGCAGGAATCATGCCGCCCAGCTCCAGCTGCAAACATCTGGCTTCTTGTTGACTCATTTAATGAAGATAAGTTCTCCTCTCCTCCTGAACCAGCTGCTCTGCAGAGCAGACCTCCCTGCTGTGTGGTGTGGGGAGAGAGCTACTTGCATGTCCTTTGCCAAGTCATTTCACCTCTCAGGTCCAGAGAGAGCCTCCCTCTTTCCTCCTACCTTCTTCTTCCCCAGATCCACATTGCTACATCCCCCATGGGAAAAAATGTGTTTTTCTCTGCCAAGTCTTTGCCTTCCAATTGATTCTGTATTACGTCCAGACCCCAAGTGTCTCACACCCAAACTCATCTCCATTGACACAGGTAATCCTAAGCCCCTTTTAGCTTCAGGACTATATGGTGCTGTGTTTCTAGAATACTCTGTGCATTAAACATCCCAGCCCTACAATTCCCCCAGGCTGAGAATCACTGCCCCACTCTACCTGAAACCTGTATACTGTATGTTATCCTCTAAATATCTGCAGAGGTGAGACCCCCCCCCCCGCCAAGGCTTCAGGGAAGATGCCACTGGCCACCAAGTCCATAAGAGAAGAGGCCCCTGGAGCCAGCAGGGTAAGTTACCTTGTGGTGGGTCCTGCACTGCAAAAGACAGGGAGCCCCATGCTGCAGCACCCAAGGATGGGCCAGAGAGGCAGAGGTAGGTAAAGAGGTCAGGTCCATCCTCCCCAGGAGGACCTTGCTGCCCTGCTTATTAGAAACTCATGCCTATGAGAAAGATGTGGGATGGGGAGAAAAAATGTTCATCATGGTGTGAGCATAAGAAAGAACTATTTCTAAGACCCAGGCATTGGCCTGTTTAAACTGAGTGGTGTTGATTGGGGTTAACACCAAAGAAATTCAGTCATGGGGGGTTCACTGTGATAGGATTTAACTAGAAGGATGTTCTCCTTCCTCCTAGAAATTCGTCTTCTCCAAAACCTGACATTCCAGGAAGGTCACCAGGCTTCCTACTCAGCCAGAGGAAGCGGGGTGGGGGGGCAAACCCCAGCAATTCTGAGCTGGGAGAAAGGAAACTGACCAACTTCCATTCCTCTGTGAAATAAGCACAATTCAAATTCAAACAGCAGATGTTTGACCTCCAAGGTAAACATCAGAAGCGTTGCTTGTGATCTCCAACCCAGATGTCCTCCACAGTGCGATGAAAATCCCCGGCCTGGGGTCTTCCTGCATCTGCCACCCTCACCACTGGGTTGGACGGACGTGGAGGCCTGGTATGAGTCTGAGAATACCGTTCTCTGCCTCAAGTGAGTTACTCAGATTCAAATCTAGGAAGATGAGATCCCTGGACTAGGAGTTAGGAACCCTGGTTTGGGTCCGAGTTCAGCACCAAAAAGGAAGAAATCAAGAAGAAATCTTTCACCTTTCCTAAATCCCACTTCCCTACTTCAGAAACTAGGTAGGTAAACTAGGACATCTCCAAGGTTCCTTCCAACTCCTAAAATATCACCACTTTTCTTCATTTTAAAGATACACAATGATTTAATTTCTTGCATAAGCCCTGTTCAGGAAGGGGATGAGAATGGCAGATAGTAAGAAAGGCACCTTTTTCAAGGCACCATTAAAAAAGTCATTTCTATTTCAAGACTTCCATTCTGTCTTCTTGGAAAGCCTGAAAGAAATTCCTTCTTTTATTCGGTTGCCAACCTTTCTATTGAGGCTTTCATTTCCCTTTTTAAAAAAGAAATAAAAAGTCAGGCTTTGGACACTTAGGAATGAAAGCTGACTTCAGGTGCGCCTCCAGAAGAATGTGAATTACAGCTGCACCTCAGTGTCTTGGCTGAGATTGAAAGAATTTCAGGAGAACACTTTAAGGCAGCTGATGAAACTAAAAATGTCTAGTGGAGGCTGGAAGAAGTGGCAGAAAGAATTAATAATTAAATACTGCAGTGCATTTAGTGAGTCTCTATTCTGCAAAAATGTTTTCTCCCAAGTAGTATTTCATCCTCATATTAGCTTTTTGAGTAAGAAGAATAGATAGTTCTTTTTAACTGACAGAGTGAATTACATCCAGAAGGGTAAGTGACTGGCCTTAATTTCCATATCTAAATCACAGAGTCGGTTTAAGCTGCCTGTGGGGCAGTGGCTCTAGCGACCTCTGAGGTCTCTTCTAACTTGGGAACTCTCCAGAGCCCAGGTTTCCAGCCTCTCACCTGAGTGCCTAGTCTCTGGCTAAGCATCTACAGAAGACAAGGATTATCTTCATCCATCAGCTTCCCTCAGATCAGCAATTCAAGAAGGACCAGGACAGGGGAAGATGGGAGGGCCTGTAGGCAAATTAGGCATTGTAACTCTAAGCAGGAAAATAATCTAGGGCTACTTTTGTAGGAATCAAGGAGAATCGCATTTCCCTTGGCTCAAGCCCCTACCTCTCCCCTGGGAGAACATTCTCTCCTGGGCCACCAGAGGACTCTACTTGTTGGGACTAGGTAGATAAACTAGAACATCTCTAAGGCTCCTTCCATCTCCTAACATATCACCACTTTTATTCGTTTTAAAGAAACACAATGTATCTTTTAAGTGAAGAGCAACGTTTCAGAAAGAAACATAAAGAAATTCAACTGTGGCTTGGCGCCTATAGCTCAACCGGCTAAGGCGCCAGCCACGTACACCTAAGGTGGCAGGTTCAAATCCCCAGCCTGGACCCGCCAAACAACAATGATGGCTGCAACCAAAAAATAGCCGGGCGTTGTGGCGGGCGCCTGTGGTCCCAGCTACTTGGGAGGCGGAGGCAGGAGACTCGCTTGAGCCCAGGAGTTGGAGGTTGCTGTGAGCTGTAATGCCACGGCACTCTACCCAGGGGGACAGCTTGAGGCTCTGTCTCAAAAAAAAAAAAAAAAAGAAATTCAACTGTTTAGGACCCTTAAATTAGGACAAAGCCAAACTCAGTATACTGAATTATTTTATTTTGGGTTCTTAGCACCAGTTTCAGAACCAAAGATCAATTCACAATTGCAAAGATGTGGAAACAACCCAAGTGCCCATCAATCATCAATACATGGGTGGATTAATAAAACGTAGTATATGCATACCAGGGAGTACTACTCAGCTATAAAAAAGGTTATCTAATATCTTTTCTAACAACCTAGAAACCATTCTTCTAAGTGAACCATCTCAAGAATGGAAAAACACACACCATATGTACTAAGTACTAAATTAGAAGCAGTTGATCAACTCTTCTGTGCACATATGGAAGTAAAACTAAATGGAAATCAAGTAGGAGGGAAGGGGAGGAGGGGTTGGGTAAAGTTACACCTCACTGGCACACTGTCTGGATGAAGGACACACTTGTAACCTAACTTAAAATGTATAAAAAGTAAATTATGTAACCAAAACATGTGCACCCCTGGAATACTCTGAAAATATATATGTATGCATACAACCCATGCCTTTGATAGGCAATATTTCCAGATAGGCATCATCCTTGTGGTTCTTGAGGCAAAGTATTGGCAAGGCTGTATCCAGAGGTAGGGTGAATAGAAGGGAGGGAAGTAGAAGCAGGCACCCAGCTGTTCCCGGACAATACCTCTGCCTTGCTGTGCTCAGTGGGCTGGGAAGTCCATTTCCCTGCCACTTCTCACTTCTGTTTTCCCAGTGTCTGTATAATGTCTGTTTCATGGTTTGCACATTCTATAGAATGGATGGCCAATGACTTGTACAGTGGAAAATACACTTTCTGGGTGTTTTCAAATGGACTACTACAGTTGTCTCTTACCTCAGTTCCCATGTCAATACTTTGTTTGCTACCATCCAGCAACCACTCTGGACTTATTGGTAAGGCATTTGCATGTCACAGAGTGGGAAATAAATCCAACAAAAATTTAGGGGCCTTCTACACCCATACATTTTCTAGGGGTTTAGTGGCCTGGAGCCTGTTAAGATCCCCTTTGTAAGGGGGATTAATAGGCTTTAAACCAACTTTAAACCACTTGTCATCACCCAATTGGCTCAAGAATAAAGTAGGCGTGGGGACAGGGATAGAGGCTGTACATGAGCTCAGCAACATGGTGTCCTACTCCTCAAAGCCAGCCTGGCTGTGGCTATCAGAGTCCCCAGGCTGCCAGCTACCTAGAGACAGGTTGATTACATTGGACTGCCTCCCTCATGGAAAGGGCAACAGTTTATCTTTAATAAAATGAATACTTACTCTGAATATGGATTTGCCTCCTCTGGATGCAATGTGTCTGGTAAAACCATCATCTGTGGACTCACAGAATACCTTATTCACAATCACTGAGTTCCACACAGTATTGCTTAAGGAATTCACTTCATAGCCAAAGAAATGTGGCAGTGGGCCCATATTCATGGAATTCACTGGTCTTACCATATTCCCATCATCCTAAAGTAGCTTGATAGAAAGGTGGAATGGCCTTTTGAAGTCACAGTTATAACACTAGCTAAGTGAGACTATTCTATAAGGCTCCAGCAAGTCTCTCCAGACATGTGTTCTGGATCAGCGTCCAGTGCGTTTCTCCCATAACCAGGATTCATTTGTTTGGGAATCCAGAGGTACAAATGGGAGTGGCACCTCTTACTATTACCTCTAGTGACCCAGTAACAAAAAATTTGCTTCCTTTTCCTACAATAGCATGTTCTTCTGGATTAGAGGTCTTAGTTCCAGACAGGAATGCTTCTACTGGGAGATACAACAATGATTCCATTGAACTGAAAGTTAAGACTGCCACCCAGCCACTTTGGACTCCTCATGCCCCTGAGTCAATAGGCTAAGAAGGCTGTTACAATACCTTAAATTTATGAGTAGGGAAAATAACAATTTGGGATGACGCCCAAATTCTCACTGCTTATGTGAGACAAATTTTTGAGCTGGTAAAGGTTGTCCAAAGGTGACCCATCTACTTTGTGGAATGCCTGGGTATCATGATCTGCCCGACCCTTTTTAAAAAAAAAAAAAAAATAAGGCTGTTACAGCACTGACTAGAGAGATTGATGTGAACTACACAGGAGAAACTGGACTACTACTTCCCAGTGGAGGTAAGAAAGGTGTGTCTGGAATAAAGGCGATCCCTTTCGGTGTCTCTTACTATTACCATGCTCTGTGCTTAAAGTCAGTGGAAAACTTCAACCACCCAATCCAGACAGGACTATGAATGGCTTAGACCCGTCAAAATGGTAACACCACCAGGTTAAGAACTGTGACCAGCTGAGGTGCTTGCTGAAAACAAAGGAAATACAGAACAGGTAGTAGAGGAAGGTAGTTATAAGTACCTGACCAGTTAAAGAAACAAGGACTATAATTGCTGTATTTTCTTCCTACTTTATTAAGTGTGCAAGGCGGGTAGATGACCTAAGCTCATGAGTTGGAGACCACCCTGAACTAGAGCAAGACTCTGTCTCAAAAAAATGGCCGGGTGTTGTGGCAGGTGCCATAGTGTCAGCTATTTGGGAAGCTGAGGCAAGAGAATCACTTGGGTCTAAGAGTCTGAAGTTGCTGTGAGCTGTGACACCATAGCACTCTACCAGAGGTGACAAAGTGAGACTCTGTCTCAAAAAAAGAAAAGAGTACACTTGTGTATAAACAAATACTTTAAGCAAATACTTTTTCTTTCCTCTCTTGTTTTTTTATCGTGTAACATAAGATTTGTTGACTTTATATCAACAAGTATAAGTATTGTTAATTTTACATCAAGTATTTAAGTTATGGGATATCAGGAGAAGAGTAAATTATCACTCAAGAACTTCACCGCCTCTTCTGGGGATGGGATTAGTATGTTTTTGGCTATACAATGGGTAGCTGTATCATGTTAGGTGGAATTATAACCTTGTTGTTGTCTTTACTTAGATATTAAGTATCATTTAAGGAGATGCATATGTGTGCCATGGTGACAGGGTAGACTTGTGATGGTTAATTTTAGGTGTCACTTGACTGGATTAAGGGACACCTGGATGGCTGGAGAAGCATTGTTTCTGGGTGTGTCTGTGAGGGTGTTTCCACAGGAGATTGACGGTGAATCAGTGGACTGGCAGAGGATGATCTGCTCGCAATGTGGGCGGGCACCATCCAACCAGCCAGGGCCCAAGCTGAAACAAATGTGCCTAAAAAGGGGGACTGGTTCACTGATGTTTCTCTCCCTTTCAGAGCAGGATGCAGTCTCTCCTCTTGCCTTTGGACATCCAACTCCAGGTTCTTCAGCTTTTGGACTCTGGAACTTGCACCAGCCGCCCCCAGCAGTTCTCAGCCTGACTAGGGGCTACACTGTCGGCTTCCCTGGTTTGAACATGAACTGAGCTTTTCTGGTCCTCCAGCTCACAGACGGTCTCTCTACTTTTATGATTATGTGAGCCAGTTCCTCCTTCCATATATCCTGCTGGTTCTGTCTCTCTGGAGAACCCCGACTAACACACATCTCTGCATACACACATACACGGATTTTGCTCCCATCCAAATTACACAAATCTGTTGATTACGCTGGATTGCTTCCATCCTGGGAGGGGCAGCCTTTTGTCTTTATTGGGATAGACACTTACTCTGGACAGGGATTTGCTTTCCCCTGGAGACATTAAGTGAGTCAAATGTTGACCCAGTTGGATAGTGGCATAACCCAGATCTTCAAGCATTAATTCAGTGTCTTTTTCTATTATACTATACAATCCATCTCTTCTAAAAACCCACAATGGCTTCCTGCAGCGTATCACAGCAAATTTAGATATTTCTGTTCAGTCTTTCTACCCTCCTATCCCTCCATTTTAGTATTGGCAAAAGATTCCCTTTGCTAGCCAAGTATACCTGCTGGCTATCTCCTCACTCTCTCCTTTTATGGCCAGGTATAAAAATGTCCCCCTTTCCTCTTGCTACAAATTCATGTCTCTTTTCCTTCCTTGAAAACCCAGGTCAGACCTCACCTCCTCCAGGAAGTCCACCCAAACCGGCACCACTTCCCTCGTCCCACTCTGGCCACCCCCCCCCCCAGCCCTTCAGGAGGGCCTATATTCTTGTCACATGGTGCCGGGTTTACACTGGCTGGCGCCAGTTGAGTGGTAAATACATGAAGACGTGGGCTCTCCCAATTCCTTCTCTAGGCCATCTCTCAAATGTGTCCTTCTTCCCTGGTCCCACTGTCACAGGCTCTCACTCTTCCTCCCATGGACTATCAAAATAATCTCCTGTGAGCATCTCTCCTTCCCATCCTCCCTCCATTCTGCTCCACACTGCCCCCTGAGTGACTTTTCTGAAAGAAATCTCATGTGTCCTATTTTTCATGATTCCCCAGTGCCCTTAAGATAAAGTCAAAAGCTCTTAGCAGGATATTCAAGGCTGTTCACAGTCGAGTCTCAAACAACTCCCCTGTCTCCATTATTCAGCTGCAGATGTATCAATGTATCTATGTTTGAGTTAACCCTTCAAACACAGGGTAGGGTGGTTGTTCTCAAGTCTGAGCCATGTTAATGCTGCTCCTTTTGCCAGGGCCATCCACCCATCTTCTGTCTCCTTGATGGATTTTTGTTGATGTTGTGAGGCCTGTCACAAATATCACCACCACACCCTGGATGGCTGGGCCTGCACCAGCCCTCCCCCTCTTTGGAAGCCACACTGAGCACAGCGCACTGTAATTGCTAGTTGGTCGGTCTTGCTCTCACTCTGCTGGCCTTTTGAAAGCAGGACCAAGTGCTCCTGTCTTCTATGTCCACAGCCCATTAGAGTATTTAGCTCCTAGAATGCTCTCAATGTTGCTCAATAAGTGAACAAAATATCTTGCTCACACCATGCCAATTTGCATCTCAGAATCACCTTTCAGAACTGAAAGAGACATTAGAAAATACCTTTTCTGGCTTGCTCATTTTGCAAGTGAAAAAACTTCGGCAAGGATTTAAGTGACTTGCTCAGGGTCATAACGACGCAGGGAGGGGCACTGACCTTCTGGTCATCTCATTCAGTCCATCTTCTGCTTTATTGTAGTATAAATCCGTACACCAAAAGATAGAGCAAGCACCTCAAGGGTAAAAAAAAAATTCTCTTCTTTTTATTGCATTTTCCTACACCACGGGCTCCATACCCTCATTTAGATTCCACAAGTGTAGCTGACAATGACATTTACAGACCTGCTGCTCTGCTTTGCAACTGTGCAGTTGCCTCTTCGTATGATTTTGAAGTGCCTTTTAGTGAGCCAATTCAGTTGGCTTGAAATTATAAAAATTCTTCAAATCCATTGATGTTCTCAGAACTCCTCTTAGGATGATGTATGTTGAAAGACTTAAGTTAAATAATTATGGACACTAGCTTCTTATAATACAATATACTCGAGATCAAATTATAAATTTCCTAACTTATGCAATCAGTCTTGACAAACACCAGCATCTAGCACTTCCATTCAGATTTTTATCCCACAATATAATGCCAAGGATAATATGTACTTCTCAGAAGGGGAAAGTCAAAGGAAGATGATGACAGTGATCATTATGGTAATGACAGACACCATCAGTCCATGGGAAAACGGGGCTCTCAGATTCTTCTATTTTCAAATCTTCTGCGATATTCTGACACAAAAGGAAATTCTTTTTATCAAGAAAAACTTTGGATGAGCTCATACCTTACCTTTTGGGCTTTGCAAGGCAAGGTGCCCGTTACTGTCTGTGGCAGGCATCAGCAACAGTTTGCATTCTTCTAACCACAGAGAATGAATGTCTTAGAAGGTTCTAAGAATTTGGTTCAATTAAAAACACAACAAAGATTTTTCAGTCATTTGCCAAAGAAAGAGAGATGGCCACTTCAGAGAGATTTAGCACCTTTGAACAGTGCTTTCACGCGGGAGTGTTTGCACAGCCTGTGAGCGAGGAGGTTACCCTTACGCTGCTGCTAATTCACTCCATTTCTACTCCTTTGTCCTGCTTATAGTTAAAACCGGCTTCAGTAGTCACATTGCTGTCATGTGTGCTATCTCAAAGTTAAATCATAATGAGCTTTGAGAATGGTAGTTGTTTCTTCTTTGTTTTTGCAGAAATGTAGGCTCCTTTTTCATTTTGGAGAATCTGAGCCTCCAGGTTTCTATGATTGCCTCTCACGCCTTCTCTCGTCTTTTATTCTCTTCACTTCTTTGGCTTTAAAAGCAAACTCATTACCAAACCAAATGTATCAGCCTCCCACACAGAATCTGGGGGAGAAAGGGATCCCATTTGATTTCAGAAGAGCCATTTCAGAGGCAGCCCAATCCACGGCTTCCCTGGCCTGTGGGGCACATCAAATGTAACCCACCCAAGGATAGTACTATCTCTTTGGGGACTGCTCTGTGTCTGCACAAAGCCACTGACATGGAAAAGCAGCTACTTCTAGGGTAGCGATGCAGTACCCCATTCTATAATTTAAAAATTAAAGTAATAATAATGATGATGATGGTGGTAAATATTCCTATAAGGACCTAGTCTGTGCTAGGCAATTGTCAAAGCACTATATGTGTATTAATTACAAAAACCCTATGGGGTTAATGCTATCATTACCCTTATTTTACAGATAAGGAGAGTGGAGGTCAGAACTGTTAGTATTTTGCCCAAGATCACCCAGCTGGCAAGTGGCAGGTGCAGGCTAAATGTCATATGCTATTGCTCCACATTCCTGCTCTTTACCAAACCTACACCATGCTGCTTCAAATTAAAGGACAAATATATTCAATTAATAATAGTCCTCTTGCCAAAAGTACCGTGGAACCCATTTTGAAATGCAAAATGTTATAACTGAGATAATAAAAATGATAAGAGCAAATATTTATTGAAGGTTTGCATTATAACCTATAACAATCTTGTCAGTAGATATTATCACTCTTTATTTTTCAAGTGAGGAAATGTAGAGTAAGTAGCTTGCCCCAAATCACACAGCGAGTAATTAGCAGAGTTAAAAGTGCAGCCTGATTCCCAAGTCATCTTGGGATGCTTCCTCTCCA